CTTTTCTCACCAATAAAATGAGAACAGTTCTGAGCTATTTCACAAGGAGTCTAAGACACTCAGTAATGTCAGAAAATGTCTGTGATGCTAAAGTCCCTGGGATTTACGGTATGTGTTACTTGCTAAAGCTTGTCAACTGTGGAGCCATCCGCTGGTATCTGCAAAAGGCAGATTGATAAAAAAATTTCCAATAGCCAAGAGATTTTGAATCTGTTCAGCAGATAATATATGGAAACAAATGCAGTTTTAGGGGAAAAAAAAAATAATAAATACATGCTTTTCTTCTCATCTGTTTTGTTTGTGTGGTGTTTTTGTTTTGGTTTCGTTTTGGTTTTTTGTTTGTTTTTTCCTTTGTTTTTTTCCCCCCATACTTGTTGGCAGCTTTGATCTTTCTACTTATATGTCTCAAGTGCTTTCCAGTCCCTGTATGTCCCACTTCTGATTATTGATCCTTCCTTTCTTCATTTTACAGCCTTTTTTTCATGAGGATTTCTTTATGCCTTATTTTGTCTTACACTGTCCTCTTACTGAAGACACCTGTCCGTAGGGCCTCTTGTTCATTTAGGATCTGCCATAATATCCACAAGAGTGCTTAGAGTGGGAACAGGTACAGGAAATAAGTCGACATTTCTGTTTCATATCGCTTGAATCCTTTAATATCATGATGTTGGGGTAGCAGTTTTAATTAGCTTAAAGATGGATTTCTAGGTTGAAATTCTGGAAAATAGGAGGCTTTTAGCAATGCAGAGCTAAGTATTCTAGAAGCAGTAGAGGATTTCAGAATTACAACCGCTCAGTGGAACTGCTCAGGAGAGAGGAAAAGTCTCCAGCACTTGGATATTTCACTGCATTTCTCTATAGTTTTACAGTGGTTTAGCAAGTTGATCTTCCTCTGAATAGGAGAATAAAGACAAAATCCTTATAAGACTTTCAGATCAGTATTTCTGTTTCTAACTGTCTCCAGAATGACAAGGCTCAAGCAGATTAAACTCAAACTCCTTTGTTCAGAGTTTCATGTTAGGTTGAATTGATTAATTTGTCTTTCAAGTTATGGAGTTGCCCCATATATATTGCCAAATATTATGCTGGTGATTTGGGGTCAACTAGATGTTGTTCTCTAACACACTTAATGCCCCAATAACAGGCTTGGTTATTCCCGCCCAAGCTTCTGACTAAGAGGTCTTAATTTCCTCAGACCTAAGGATTGCTCTGGGAGGCTCCAAAAGCAGGGAATGCAGAAATATATAAAGATATAAATAAATTGGGTAGTGAGAAATAATCTAGTGAAAAATATATCCATATCCTATACCTTGCTATACAATTACAAAAAATATATTAATATTTCATGATACTTTAAAATCAAAAGCAGATGATATCCAAGTGTTTTCCTGCTAGCCACTCTTATTTTAGCTTAGATAAGGAATAAGTTTATATAGTTGACAAAGTAGAAGCTGTCACCAGTGGTGACATACTGTATAGAGTGGTTTAAATGTTAACAATGAAATAGTTTGCCTCCAAATGTCATCTATTGTTTTATAAGTGACTCACTGAGCCTATGGCATTGTACACAAATTCCTTCTTTTTTCTTTTTACCACAATAGCATTCTTGTGACATATGTTTACCCTTACTGCAGTTATTAGGGGGAAATGCCAGTCTGATAAATACTCAACTGTCATATTTTGTCTGGATACATTGAGAGTATTTTATTCAATGAGGTATGGATTGTAATTTTCCACTTTTGATAGGATTTGATTTTGTAAGAACATGGACTTTCTGAAGTGGAAGCTGGTTTTTGAAATCTTGAATATTCTTTCTTCCAGTTAAATACTAAGTGATTGAATATATTGGTAACTGGTTTTCAAGTAATCATCCAACTTAAATAAGCATTTTTATGGTGCACAGGAGACAGGTAGTGTGACCAGTAATCATTAAAAGCATATTGCAGATATTTTGGCATTTGGTATCTTAATGCGCTAAAAATTATAATGCCACTATTACTATTATATTTCAGATAAGTGTACCAAATGACCAAAAATTTCTTTGAGTCCGGGGAAGTAACTTTTATGGAAGATGATGGCTTTAAAATAAGAGTGGAAATATTAGGGTTCAGCTGGAAGTCTTACATTTTAATCACAGGGGAGGGTTGGTCCTACCAAAATACTCTTTTCTGGGAAATATGGCATAATTTAAGGAATATTCAAGCTGAAAATTTGGTTATCTGTAACCCAATTCCACGTGTTTGTTTATTTCAGCAGTGAAGTTTGCATTGTGATACATGGAGAACTGGTTTATGTTTTTAATGTTCATTATCTCATCCTGTTTTCATACTTTTGTTACTGTAAATAATTTAGACACATGATACTATATATATAGTTGTGGTATTATGAAAATAAATAGAATATTACACAAACAGATTTAGAAACCTTTGTTTTATTATTATATTCAACTGACTCTTCTGTATAACACTTGGTCCAATATACTGTTGTTGCTTTTATAAATGTTAAAGCACTTGTTCATGCCCATGTATGTTTTGGAAACAGTTGTCTCCTTGTGACACATTGGGAACTGCAGATTGATAGAAAGGGAGACTGAAAACTTTGCATAAAGTCATTTGAGAATAACTTGCTCCCACAGATTTTAATCACCTAGGGATGAGAGCTGTAAAGCTGGGACAGAATATTGACTGTCCTTAATAATTAGAAATATATATGAAGATTCTTATATGAGTATTCTCATATAAGAGAGTATATTCTGTCTAGCAAGAATCAATACAATTTTTTAGCTAATACAGCCCTCAGGAAAACAGCAACTAATAAAACATCAGTATCTGACCAAAAGACAATATTAATTCATAAGAAATGAGTAAAAATAAGCTCCCTAGAAAAATAAATACAATATTAAGACTTCAAAATATTCAATTAGTGGTGAACTACTTGATTCTCAAAATTAAAATAGTGGTCTTGTTTAGGTGCTATATATCTGCACAAGTGGCTTGCAGGGCAACGTGATAGGAGAGGATGGCATAGACAAATTCATGTTTTAAGCTCTCTAGGTCATGGGTTTGACGTATCTTTTTTGTGTGAATAAGAAATTACATGTGGAAGTGAAAGTAAGAATTCAGCATAGCAAATGCTGTCATTATAGTGCCTGGATTTGCTCACTTAAAGCCCAAACCTCCCCAGTTGCATATCTTTGCCCATTTTCAAGAAGGATCTGGAACAAATTAGGCTAAGCCTTCTGCTGAGGATGATGCCTTTCTCTGTCAGTCATCTCTCTCATAAGCTGTACTGTATTTGCTGTTACTCATTTGCTCCTACTAATTTGATAACAGAAGTCTCTGATTAAAGTGGATGTTTGATAAAAATTGCTGGTAGTTTATATTTTGGTTAGTCCTAAGGGCATGCATTGGGATGCATCTATATGTATCTAATTCCAGGACATGGAAAAGTCTGCGTACCTCCTAAACGTCCTATTAACTTGAATTATTATGCATTATTACTATGATACTATCAATCTCTTCATCTTTTAAGTTCCATTCATTGTAAGTATCCTACAATTACAGTGCAAGTTGTAGTTTGCTGCTGATAGCAGTTCTGTCTTTGTACTTTGTGCATGGTACTTAGTGGTTTATTTTAGATACGTAAGTTGTCTGAACAGTTACTGAAATCTGATCCCCTATTCACCTTGTCTTCTATACAGCATTAGTGCAATAATTAGCAGTATTGAGACCTGAGCCGAATTTTCAAGTAATTTTAAGGCTTTGCAACAGGTTGACAGCATAAAATTACATTTTTGTTTATTTTCACTGAAGATCCTAAATCAGGAAGACACATAATAATTAACCTCTTTTCAGTTGAAATGTAAGCTCAGAGGTCTGGATTTTCAGTGTCTTTACTGAGATGGAGTTTTATAGAGATTTTTGGACATCTTATTTGCCAGTGAGAAAAAAAGGTCACACAAGAAATCTGGATAGATAAAACAGTTTAAAAATTGGCCAAAACAACAGTTTTAGTCATACTAGACAACAGTATCTTAAATAAAAATCAATGTGTATAATTGAAGGGAGACATTCAGTCAAATAGAGTTAAACACGAATTTTGCACAGTAATATGCACTTTCATTCAAGTCTTCAGTTAGAATCATGCAAGATGCACCAGTTTTTAAGAGGTCTCTCATCTTTGACTCTAGAGAGATGCAGAAACAGCTAAAATGTGAGACATATTTCTGCATCTCTCTGTACTGGGATATATATACTTGTACTTACACATGTATCTATGCATATTTATACAAAGACAAATTTTAAAGAGATCATAAACTTGTTTCTACTTGTGCAGACATTTTGCACATAAATTGTCTATGTAAGTTTTAAAATAATATCTGAATCTCATATAAATTAATGTTTCAGCGAGTAATCTTAACGGATATGTTGGTGAGAGAGCACAAATATGTCTGTTCTCAATACTAAAATTTGTATAATTATTAACAATATTGCCCTATTTTCAGCTATACTCTCATGTACTTCCTTTGTCCCAAGAGTGTATTTTGTTTTCTATAAGGTATACGTGCTTATTGGTTATGATCTGTAAGTTTAGTTGACGAGTGTGTGCAATCTGGACCTCAGCTGATAATGCAACCAATATTTTTCAATTATTAAAAAAAAGCCAGATAAGTATTTACATGTGTTTTTTATTTCCCTAACTTAGCATTTCTCAGTCTGACTTCGTGACATGATCTTAAAACAACATTTGTGGGAATTTTTCCTCTATAGTAGAGTTTTTTGGATTGCAACAAAGAATAAAGCAGCAAATACAATTTTTAAAGCTTATTTGTTGCCCAATTTTGAAATCTCCAGACACTGATGGAGTCTTCATGTAGTGGAATTGAAAATCCAAATGTGACGTGCTTTATCTCATGGATCAAGAAAACGTTAGCCTGTAGTACTACAGTACCTAGAAAAGAGAATTAATTGTCTTTAATACTATTTCTGTTTATTTTACAGTTTAACAATAATGCTCAGAATGTCAGTTGCTTTAATCATCTTGTCCAAGCTAATGTGAGAAACAAGAAGAAGCTGAAAGAAGCTGTGTATAAAATCTCTGCTAAAGGAATTACAGACTACAAAAAAGGCTTTAGCTATGCTTTTGAACAGTTGCTGAATGTAAGTATGAAAGTCATCTCTCTCAGCTTTAAAATGAAGAAGGAGACCAGTGTTGAGTTGGCCACTGCATTCTTCTCCCCTGGGTAATGAAGTTGTAGAAATGCAAACCTCTATTTAGCAACTAAATTTATTCCAACAATATGTTGTTTTTTTCTTTGCAAATCCCCCAACAGTTGGCTAAAATTTTGGAATTAGTTTGGTTTTCAACATGCCGTACTGTTTTTACTTCATACATTGATCTAGTTTTTCATTGAACATGTGATCCTCAGTTGTCACATAGCTGGGGAAGTGGTTAATTTGCCCGTGATTTTAAAATGCCTCATGGTACAGTGTCATTATTTCAATTTTACCATGGTATCTCTTAGGAATGTTTAGTACAATTTTATATTTATTACAAGTCATATGTAGTCAACCATGGGTTTAGCACGACAGAGGGGAGCAAATGCCTTAGTTAATAGAGGAATATTAGGCACCTGAGAGTATTCTAATTCTCTTTGCACGTGTAAAAAGAATAACTTTGTAAAAAATTAAATACATTGTTTCCATGTTTTAATTGCATTGCACTTTCTAATTTCCACCCAGGCACTAGCTTTCTGAGTAGTACCGTTTCCCATTTACCACAGATGTTGGGGCTTATTAGTGGTTTTTTTTAATAGTTTGTGTGTTTGTTTTATAAAAAATATTTCTATATTTCACCTTCAGAAAGACTGCATGTTGGATCTTCACAGTGGAAATAAAGATAAACCAATTTGTAAAATTTAAGAGAATAGTTTAACTAATATGAAATATATTTTTTTTTATTATTGCTTGTTAATATATCAGTGATGTCTCTCAGTGTACAGATAATCTTTTTTTTTTTTTTTTCTTTTCCCCTAATCTGTCGGAGTCTCGACTTCAGGGCATTTTCCTGCCTTTGTATAGGCAGCTTAGAGCTAGAGCTCGTTCAGAATTTTCTGACCTTTTCAAATTTTGATGGAGGAAAAGAAGAGACAATTTTTTTCAAGAATATTGTCTCAACAGCTCTCTATGTAGATGAACTGAGGGGTTTGGTGGGGAAATGACTGGGTGCCCTCTGCTGATGGTTATTTAAAACTGCAAAAACGATTTTAAAAGCTGTCGGACTTTTTCAGACCAGGCTGAAAGGCATTTCCCCTTTTTCTTCGTCTGTTTCATACAGAGGGAACAAGGAAGACACATTTTAACAAACACAACTTGTTCCTCACAGTGTTTGTATCTGGTTAACATTATGTACTACATGTGATGCAGCACCAGGTTTGTACATTGTAGACAGGCAGTATTTAGAAGACCTGAACACAGGGGCATCCTCAAAGTCAGCTTGTTTGTAGAACTAAAAAAAATTGCTAAAAAAAATAATTGGAGATCAGTCTCATAGTACAAATGTTTCTGTCATAACTGGACACATAAGTGTGATTAGCCTCACATAATCATTGCAAGCCTATAAATTTTGGCTAGACATGTAGATGTGTATGTCAAGGGAAGAGATTACACCAGGTTACAGAAATACATTCATCCTCTGCAGATTTTTGCAAATCCATCTGGCAGGAAGAGTAAAGGGCTAGTGATGGAGTCAGCCCTAAACTCTGGTGACAATATAATAGGATGATATAATACAGGCTTAAAGAAAAAAAAAAAAAAAAAAAAAAGTAAATACTTGGGGATAGTTTCCAGTTGTATAATTATAAATTCAAACAGCCCACTTGCTTTAAAGTCTGTGGAGTATTAGTTTAGCAACTCAAATTTTCATAAAAAAATTGTGTGCACTGTTTCTGGATTAAAGTTATTTCAAACAATTTTCCTGAATATAAATTAATATTTCACTTGTACCATGAAAAACTTGCTGTCTGATGTGTTGCTAGATGGAAATAGACACTTTGATGTTTTTTCAGCATAGTAAGTCAAATGATTATCAGTAGTCTAGATTCCATAATATTAATGCAGTATTTTCACATTTATTTTTGTAGGAACTGACTACTTATTTGAAAACAATAATACTTCCGGTCCAGCAAGCTAGGAGCTTCTCCCTCCACACCTCCCCACCCCCCACCCCTTTTCTGTATTACCTACAACTTGTAAAAAAATAATAATAATAAAAAAAAATAAAAATAAAAATTAAATAATCTCTTCTAGATTTTAGTATTTGATTTTTGGGTTGGTTTATCTTTCCCTCCCTCAGTGGCATGAAACTCAATGGAAAATGCATTCCTAACATGTCGTGTTGTTAGGTATAAACCTAATCTGCCACTTAAAAAGTAAAACTTGAATAAAACAAAAGTAATTTTAGTGCAGTGTAAAAAGTGTCTGAAAGAAAAGCCTTTATCTGGTACCAGAGCTAAAAATACATACCTAGATTCAGTTTTTGTCCTGGGAAAGCTGCTGTACAGGCAACACATTCCTCTTCACCCATGGTCTATGATGAGAGGGCAGAGATATCCATTGGACTGCTGAGATAAACGGTTCAGAAAATGATGAAATGACTGCATCAGCTTTGCAAAATCACACATTTACTAACCCTGAGTCAGTATCTCTCCAGCTTTGTGCAAATGGGAGGTAAAACACAAAAAGTGTCTTGAAGCCAATTCTGCCTTCCTCATTATCCATTTCAAGAGACTGAGGTGCTAAGTTTGTTCACCAAGATGCAAAGTTTTTATGGTGGGAAAATACAATATGATTTGAGCTTATCTGTCTTCAGATTTCCAATATTGTTTGGAGGCTAAAATCATGGGGTTTTTTTCCACCACATGACTTTAGTGTCTAAACAGTGTAATATAAATAAATACCTTTCTGTAAGTACTAGGATATAAAGAGAAAACACTGTTTTTCAGATACTGTATAAGCATATACTATGTAAGCCCTAAAAAAGCCCTGATTTAATAACTTTTAAAAAAAGCCTGCTTAACTTCATATTGCCTATAACAGTGCTCATTTCAAAACCAATAGGAAAGTTTAATCCTATGAGCAGATCTTAGTCCCCTTTCTGGTAATCTCTTCAGTTTTCATCTGATTTTATTTTTGGCCAATATATTAAGTCAGTGTAAATGTAGGTGCGTTTATTTATGAAGTCTCAAACTCTACTTTTATTACTTTTTTAATATCCAGAAAATTGCAGCCCAAAGCAGTATGGTGTAGGTTATATTTCACAAGCAAAAATGGTCATAAATAATTTAATTCCAAGTGAAACACAGGGTGCTGATGAGATTGGAGAGAATGTATCGATTTCAAGTGTTTTTTTATGTATTATTACATGTAAGAAAATCTTGGTATTTGTTTTTTTAAAAAATTGCTAAATGCATAGTTCACTGAACATTGAACTAACAATTCAAATAATCTCAGAAAAATAATTACTCATTTGTTAATATAGTGATTACAAATAAAGTTTTTGTATTTTAGTTCTCTTGAACAATTGTAGCACCGTGGATCTGAAATACTGAGGATTATTGGCTGATATTTGAGGCTCTGATGTCTGTGTCTCTTTGTTGCAGAAGAAGTCACTATCTAGTCACAAAGACTAAAACAAGGGAAAACTAGGTAGTTTCTAAAGGATGAGCCTCCTATTTCTTTTCCTTTCTGTATAATAAATTCTTACATCAAAATTCAGTCTTGTGGAAAGGAAAGTTGAATGCATTTTACCAGCTGCCTAAGGGTTTTTCTCTGTCGCATCCAACTACTCAAAAGTATCAAGATGTGTCCAACCAGGACCATTTGTATGCAACACAGAGGAGAAGGAATGGTGGCTGTAAAATACATGAGCAATTGGCCTAGACTAGATTCTTAACTTTTAGACAATAAGGAAAGAAGCCAAATGCCCAAGTAGAAACCTTTATCTCCTTCTGTAATGAGCCAAAATTCCTATTAAATTCTCCTTTGTTCTGACTGTGAAACATTTTTATTCCTTTGAAAAGCAGACTGTGTTTTTCTCAGTGACTTTACTAGTTAATTTGACCTGAATTAGGAGTCTGAGGAGCTTCTTCTCAATTCTCTTTATTCCAGGTTTGCTCTCCAGACATAGTGGAACATGTTCAGTTCTTTACCTTTCAGTTGCAATAGAATTAGATTAGGTGATGGAGAGAAGGAGATCTTTGCTGCAGTACATCATATAAAGGTTCATTGCAATGTTGAAATGAACATTCGGTCTATTAAAAATAATAATTAAAAGGAAAAAAAAAAGGAAAGTAATCAGCTATTAAGCTTATTTTAAGGACATTTCACAAAAATAGCAAGTGAAAAAGTATTTCTAAATTTATATAGTGGAGTTTTCTGCCTAAGTTACCAGAGTTTTCATTGAAGTGGCCATTGAACTTGATAGATTCTGTGAGTAGGAGTCCAGCAGAAAAAAAAAAATATGGAAAGAATATTCATTGGAGTGTCTGTGTTTCCAAATTTCCACAAGGACAGTAAGGATAAGAAAAAAAAAATAAGGAAAAAAAAAAAAAAGAGTAAAATTGTTTAGAGGCCATCACTGTACAAGTCTCATGGAAACCAACTGTTGGGTTGATGAGATGGGTATGAGCTAAAGAGGTCACCATTCCTCTGTGTTGGGCCAGATCTGAAATGAGTCATATTTAACTCTCACAGAACAGAAAAAAATATTTTGTTTGAGTTGTATTTTATTTAGTTTTATTTTATTTTTCACTCAGAAAGAGGTGTTGAATGAAATCCTAAAATCTTCAGAAGTTTTGCCACTATGGTGTTAGAGTAATAAGCATGGTGATATGAAAGCCAGCAAATATAAAATTGTTATTGATTATAGCCTGAAATAATAAATCATAATAATATTTTACTTCTCTTTGTATCTTCTACAGCACAGTGTCTCTAGAGCTAACTGCAATAAGATTATTATGTTGTTTACGGATGGTGGTGAAGAGAGAGCACAAGAAATTTTCCATAAATATAATGAAGACAAAAAAGTAAGTGATACATGAAAGATTTTGCTGCATAAAATACAACACAAAGAGGAACATTTAAATATGGAAGTGAAAGTATTTGTTGTATGTGTATAAAGTATGCATAAAAAAGTATTAGTATGGAAACTTGAAGCACTTAAAGCTTTCTCAATCTAACATTTCTTTGAAAAGAACAGAAAGTATATTTAATATTTTGTACCTTGTGAGGCATTGGTGTCAAAAGTACAGAAGTATAGCATAAGAGATATAGAATTAAACTTTTTATTAACATTTTCCTTGTATTACTGTAATTCTAGCATTATCAAGCAGAAACACAGGTAGCTAAATGATATGAGATGCATGTATAACTCCTCACTGAATATTTTCTGGCTTCATGTTCATCAGGCAAAGGCAAACAAATCTCAAGGTTCAAATCTGAATCTGAATAGATTTGGGCTGGAACAAACCCACATGTTTTTTCCTAGTGAGGCTCATTATGCCTTTGGATATCTTAGCTAAGAGTGGGATGGCTTTCTATTGCTGAAATTTGATCTGTGGTTCAGCCAGAATTATGGGCTTGACATGAGAATCACTAAATAAATTGAATTGTTCAGATTGGATTGGATTATTAGTTGTGGCAGTTTTGGTTGTTGTTTTTTTTTTGTTGGTTTTTTTTTTTTAATTTAATCAGACTTCTGGTCTGGCTTTTGCATACTTACAGATGTACAAAAGCATGAATATATGTGTGTGTGTGCTTAAAAAAAACCAACAGCTTTCTAAATAGTCTCCTACTGCATTTCAGTGTAAATCATTATATTTGGAAGATTAATCACTCTCTAAATAAAAGCTATATAGGCTGGCTTCAAACTGCAACTAATAACTTACTTTTGCTAGTATTTAGGGATATGCCTATTCCTGGTTTTGAAGGGGTTATATTTGGGTTTCTGTTTGTAAAGTTAGAACACAATTCACCAAGACATTTTAACAGCTGTCATGGATACTTGTGTATAACAGCAGTGGAAGTATTTGGTTCGAAGTCCTTGGATATTTGTATTAATCCTTTCAAAAGAAGAACTAGAAATGCAAGATACAATTTCCATCTCAACCAGTGATTCACTCACTGACCTTGAATAATCATTTTTTTTTCTGCTTTATAATAGTGTTTTGCATAGAATGATATGCTGGGATTTAGTTATTCTTTGTGTCTGAGCTGAAAGTACTTTCTAAACCGATAATTAGAAGGAAAATCTGAAATCATAGCAACTCATTGTGTGACACATATGGCTGTATTCTGAAAAGATATGCAGAGATTCTTCTTCAAATTTGGACTTGGTAGCTTTTATTGTTACAAAAAAAGCTTATCAGCTAAAAGAAATATGTGCATAAGGGGGGAGATGTATGATTCATTTCTTATTATTTTCTATTTAATTTGCCATGTTAGGAGGAAAGTATAGTAAAGTATCCAGTCCAAACAATGAAACAGATTTGCAGAGCTCAGATGTGTGGTCTCTCTAACCTCCATTCCTGATAATCACTCATTCTGTGAAGTATAATAAACTAAACGTAGGATTTATTAATTAAAACATAATTATTTTATTGCTTCCTTTAATGTATTATGCACTCCAACTGTCTTATTCTCTCTAGTAAATGAAAGTTTAGAGGTGTTACTGTATACAACAAATGTATAGAATCAAAGAGTCATAGAATCATAGGGGTTGGAAGGGACCTCTGAAGATCATTGAGTCTAACCCACCTGCTGCAGCAGGAACACCTAGGGAAGATCACACAGGAACACATCCAGACAGGTCTTGGAAGTCTCCAGTGAAGGAGACTCCACAACCTCTCTGGTCAGCCTGTTTCAGTATTCCATCACCCTCACAGTAAAGAAGTTTTACCTCCTGTTGAGGTGGAACTTCCTGTGTTGCAACTTGGTACCGTTTCACCCTCAGGGTGGTATAAGGCACCACTGAAAAGAGACTGGCCCATTCTTGACATCCACACTTCAGTTATTTGTAGACGTTCATAAGGTCCCCTCTTTAGTCTTCTCTTCTCAAGACTAAACAGCCCCAGGTGTCTTAGCCTTTCTTCATATGACAGATGTTAATGTATAATGGTTCTACTGGTCATTGTATGGATTTCTGATTATTTAAGTATGCTTTCTTATATAATTAAATGAAGTGCTAGATGCCATCCCTTAATGGCTTTCTCCAAGGTGACATTGGAGATACAAGAAATACTAAGAAAGTTTTTGTGGGTATAATTTGAAGAACCATTTGCTTTTCCTTATAGTTTTCAATCAGTACCAATCCCTGTAGGGAATTTTTTGAAAATTTACAAGTGAAGAACTTATGGTGAGATTGAACCAGTAAATTCATTTTCAGGAATAATGATGAAACTCCCCTGACAATCTTTCATAACAGTCTAATGTTTTTAAAAATAAAACTTAATACAAAATAGGTTTGTGGTCATGCTCTCTTTAGTAAAACTGCACTTGATTGCAGGATGATATGTGTGCTTTCTCATTGCTCCTTCTCTGTGTGATCCAGTAGAATGTACCAGCATAATTGACAGACACATTCTAACAAGAGAAATACATATACACTTTTAATTTTGTAAAGTTATAGTCACAAACATAGTGTTACCTTCTTGGATTGCACAGTAGGCTGCTTTCATATATTAAACAATGAGATACTTAAATAGATGTGTGGCTCTAGATTCTGTTGTCTTTATTGCAGTTAATTTATATTTCATTTCACAAATAGCTCATTGAATGTAAGGCTGATTTTATAATTCTCATTTATAGAGAGACTTTCCAATATGAGTAAGGTGCTAAAATGCTTTCCATGTTTTAATGTAGTAGCACTTAATGAAATAAATACGAATCAGCTGATAACTTCTCTTGCCTGCTCTGCATTTTTTTGAACATTTGTCTTTGTGTTTTACATAGAGTATATAAAGCAAGAATCTTTATTGTCTTATATAAAAGTAAAACACTTCCCCTCTTAGGTAGGCTCTGTTGTAAACTGGTTTTTTTCTTACCCAAAGAAAAGACCATTTGTTCTGTTAATTCTTGTTTTCAGCTTCCTAATGTAAAATTGCTTCAGTTCTAAAATTATTATCTTCTTGATGTCAGTTAAATTGTAATTCTGAATGTGTGACAGATCTGTGACACAGTGTACAACATAAAGCAAAGAAATTAAGGGTTCAAGCAATTGAAATCCTTGCTTGTATCTCAATAGCATGTTTGATAGATAAAATGTAAGCCAGATTTTAAGCTTTCTCAATTTTAAATTGTTCTTTGGCCTTCTCTACATTAGCTTTTTTTTATCTTTAGGCAAACATGTTAACGTAGACCTCTTTCCTCTTGATAGTCCCCCTGTGCTGAGAATTTTCTTGAAGTGATGGTACAGGAAATCCCATGCAGAAGAAATCTCCAACTACCTGGATAAACTGGCTCCCTGGCTCCTTCTCTAATCCCTTCTATTTTAAGAATGTTTAATCTTCCAGTTATTAATTTCAATGTGTTGTGTGTACTGTGACATGCACAACTGGAAAAGCTAGAATATTCCAGGTGAAACTTGGGTCAGTACCATAAATTCCACAATCCATTCTTTTTTCCTTCAATGTAAAAGTGGAAAACATATTATTAGAGTGATCACTGAAGAAGTATCTTATTCTTAAGTCAAATCATGTATTTTTACCTCTTTCTTAGTTCCCGTTATTCATGAAGGGCTGTTCCAGCTTCTGTGTTCCTAATACAGAGTAATGTTACTAAATTAATTGTTTTAAAAATGGTGTATCAGCAGTCTTCCTCTCTTGACAATCATTATCCAGACATACTTCAGAAATAGTGATGTTGCAAAGTGCTAAGCTACTTAACATCATCCCAAGTGTGTAGATCCATGTGAAAACATTTTTTTCCCAATTTCTTTGCTGTAATATTAGGCACACCTTTTTTCCTATAAACTGACATTTTAAGCCTCAGTTATCTGGTGGTGTGTGAAGCCCCCTTCTCACACTAGAGATCAGATTATAGTGATTTTTTAGGATATTGTTTTAAAAAATGTGTAATGTTATGCTTTAAGTAATCTCCTCCTAAATTGACATGCCACTATCATGTGTCCATGCCCTGGCAGTGTTGATGGATTACAGCATTCTGCCACAGCCTTTCCCACTCTGTCTGTCACTGACTCCTTTACCTTTAGACTATATAATATAAGCTTTAAGGTTTTTCTTAAAGACCTCAATAAAGAAGTCATAGCCATTATATTTCTTCTCCCTTCTTCAAATACACTTCCTTTCAACCAACACATCCCTTGTGCTTCTCCATATACAGACACTAGTTTGTTGGGCAAGGTTGCTGCAGACTTAAGAGGTGCAGTAGAAAGTGCAGCAGAACAGAGAAGGGTTTATTTTAGGAAGCTGATCTGCATGCAGAAGAGCCTTTTCATGCATGTGCCCACAGACTATTTGTGTGTTGGTACCCGCTTTCTCTTTAGGCTGGTGTTTCATTGTGAGCATGAGTTCATCTACTATGCAAGATAAAAATCCATGTGGTGGTGTTGAGAACTGCAGAAGGCTAATGAAAGATTTAATATAGTTTTGATGAAAAGTAACCTTATCAGTTGTATTAGAATAATGTGTATCTGTTACATAAAGCCTAAGTGGCAGCTTATTTCCTTTGAATTTGGCACGGAGGAGACTATTTCATGCTTCTATTTTTGTTGCTCTTGAATTCTGAACCACTACATTAATAGTGATTGACTCAGGGTAACACAAGAGGTTGATGCTGCAGATGGCATAAAATTATTAATCAAGGCAACAAGGATAGGATATGACTTAATATAGAAAGCACAGTATGTTTGTTTGGGGATGAAAGCAAGAGAGTCAGACTGCATATACAAACAAAATGCTACATGTAGCGTAACTAGTTGAAGTTAGACACCAGAAGGTTGGTCCTGTCTCAGTCTCCCCATGTGTTAACTGTGTGTTCATTCCTCCCAATTCGGGATTTCAGCAAAATG